TGTCAGGTTTAATTGTGATCGTGGACATATTTGTTGCCAATTATGTCCAAGAACGAAAAGAAAGTAAGAGAAACTTTGTAGCAGTAGATGTTTTGAGTTGGCACGGTGGCACTGTTTAAGTGCAATTTATTGTATAGTTTCACTGTTTCAGTCATTCTGTCATCTCTTTCTCTCTCATTCCATCTCTTTCTCCGTGTCCCTGTGGACTATTGCCTCCTGTTTTCCCCGCTTCTTGCCATAGGCACTGAAAACAAGTATGCAAATAGAGCGATAACATGGACTTTCATGTTGTGCTCATGTCATCCCTTCTGTCAATCAGCAGTCAAAACAAGACGAGTCCTGAGACGACAGTCACTTTAGCCTTCTGAGCTCGAGAACCAAACTCAGTGCTTTCCTTCTAATTTATTCAGATTTTTTTTTAGTCAGATGTCAGAAAACCACAATAAATGCCACCATTATCATCCATACACTATATCAACATGACACACACGTAAAATAAACAATGTAAAAATATAGAAATAAACAGTAAACCTCAAATGAACCAGAGAAAAGTCCACTGTATGTCTGACATGTAATACAGCTTCATCCGGTTCCCGGGAGTTGGATTATTGTATATATCTGTATTCATATATATATATATTTTTTTATATCAATTTATAAATATTCATTTATTTATGTATTTATGTGCAGTATATGTCTGTTCAGTACATGTTGTACCACATTTCATTGTACAATTTGTTGCTTACAGAGGACGCTAGCTCAGTTCTGGTTCTATGGATTGACCAGGTGTCCGATGCTCCATCCAAGCCCGACAGGCCAGCCAAAGAGCCTGTCGCTATGACAACTGAAGAGTTCTTCCACTTCAACTTTTATCCTTGCCTTGGCAACGCCCAGCAGTGCGTGACAGTGTTGTGTCCTTATCCCTCTTCTGCAGTCAGAGGGAGATTCTGAGTTGTTTTGGAGACATTTCCCCTGGATATAATGGTATCTGTTCCTGTAGGGGACTGCGTTGTGTATGGGTATAAACAGATTTGCAGCCAGCTTTGTGGGTAAGTAGCATTCAAAGTGCTACCATTACCTGAAACAATTAGAAGCAAATTAGGATTGATTTCTAAACTGTACGTTTTAGTGCAGACCACGTGTGCTCATGTTCAGTGGTTTAATATAGACACACTATAGTCAGCAAACTCTCGTACGAAATCACCAGGGGAACACTTAATGTTCTGTTGTTAGCTAAGTGTGAGAGCACGTATAAAGGAGGGCTCCAAAACATCCTGCGACCATGAGAAGAGTGAAGGGAACCACTAGGGGTTTGCTGAAGATGTTTCTTGAGGATCAGACAGAAAGAGAGAGAGATAGACAAAGTGAGCGGGAAAAAGAGAAGGAAGGAAGAGTGAATGAAAGAAAGTGAAAAACAGAAGGAATGAAGGAAAAAAGAATGACACAAAAGAGAAAAAAGAACGAAAGAGAAAAATTAATGAAAAAGAGATTAGCTCAAGTGCAAAAGGGATGCAAGGAAGAAAGCACACAAATGAAAGGAAGTGAACAAAAAAAGAAATATAAAGAATGAGCAAAAAATAAGGATTCTCTATATTTCAAATAGAAAGAGAGAGAGAAGGAAGGGAGGTTGAACTGAAGAAAGTGAAAGAAGGAAAGAGAAAAATGAAGGAAGATCGAATGAAAGACAACAAATTAATTGAAGGAAGAAAACTAGTTAAAGTGAACAAAGAAAACAAAGAAATATAAAGAATGAATGAACAAACAAAAGAGCGTGAGAAAGAATTAACGTTAAAAAGCAAACAAAAGTAAAATAATGACTGAAAGAATGAACTAATGATTGAGAAAAAATGAAATTAAACTGAACAAACAAATAAATGAATGAATGGGAAAAGAAACAAAAAATGAATAAGAGAATGATCAAATGAAAGTTTAATGAAAATGAAGTTGAACGTTTGAAAGAATACGAACAAAATAGAACCACTAAAAGTTGAGCAATTGCACCATTATGTGAGTGTGTGTGCACTTGTGTGCAGCCAGTAGTGTAGTTAAGCTGCTAATGAAATTAAACTGAACAAACAAATAAATGAATGAATGGGAAAAGAAACAAAAAATGAATAAGAGAATGATCAAATGAAAGAATTAATGAAAATGAAGTTGAACGTTTGAAAGAATACGAACAAAATAGAACCACTAAAAGTTGAGCAATTGCACCATTATGTGAGTGTGTGTGCACTTGTGTGCAGCCAGTAGTGTAGTTAAGCTGCAGGAGATTAGGAAACTCAGTCCAGACCAGCACCTGAGGGAGAAGAGAGCAGAGAGCTGTGAGCCCCAGCACTCAGTTCACCAGCAGGGCAGACGGGACATGCTGCACTGGGCAAAAGCCTGGAGTACTGACAGAGGTGTTTTATTTTCATGTGTCTGACTGAGAATTAGAGGCAAATTTGACATGACCAGACTGGCCAAACATTTCGACATGGTTTAGGAAGCAACAGAGACAGATCAAAGCATCACAGTGTGGATCAAACGTTCAGTTACACAGATCAGACACAGACCTGTTATAGCAGTCACAGGTGACTCTTCTTCTACATTCTTTAGCAATTACAGGGTACAAAATGAACACTGAGAAGGAATCGCTACATGGATTAAGTCGGATTGTAAGAATGATAGTCAGATATAAGTGATGTAAAATCAAACCATCTACTAAGCTGAATGGCGATAATGACTTTTCATCATCATACATTAAACTGTGATGTCTAAAGATTTTGTTCAACCTCATGTGTGTTTTTTTTTTTGCTGTTTTACCAAGAGATGGAAACCAGCTTATATATGAAGTTTCCAGATGACCTGCTGGTGATATTGTCTGGTAATTTTGCACTTGTCATTAGAGTAAGGACCATACACACAATGACAGTGGTACACAGGCTATTGTCAAGGTATTCTGCAGCTTTGCCTGTATGTAAAACAATACATTTCAGATTAGAGGGAGATAAACAGTATGTGTTTAAAAACATGGATAAACTGATCTATCCAACAGGATATTTCTGTCTTCATAACTCTAAATTGCATGGAAACCCACAGGGATGTATTCACCGTACTGAATTTAACTTCAGTAAAATTAAACCCCCCCAACTCTCTCTGTGAGACGACACTTTGATGTTCCATATTGTGCTTTTATGTTACTCTATTTAACATCCTGAGTTTGTTTTTCAATCTTTTTCTGTGATTCTCTCCTCTTCCCCTCCCCTATATTCATTCTGTCCCTTTCTCATGTGTTTGTTCCCGGTCCATCTCCTGTTCAATTTCTCATGTTGTGCATGTTCTCATGTTGTCCCCCCCCCCCCCGCTTTTCCC